TGTTTTCCATTAGTAAGATATTACTTTCTACAGTGCTAGGCATTTTATAACTAATAAATACATAAGTCAGAAATTATTACTTAATATTTTAATTATTTATTACAACTTGGCAGTAAAAATCAGTCTTCACAAAGATACTGTATGCATATTAGTCAATCAGTCTTGACTCATTCCCTTTGGCTTTCCGTGTCTCCGGGTAGTTTTGTAAGAATCCATGACTTCAGTTTTTCTAGCTCCGTTTTGCTTAGCTCATGGTAAACATCTGGAAAACTGAGAAACTTGGCACTCACACCTAGAGATTTTATCATTGAGTTTGTCTCTTCTCCCCAAGAATGAAGAACTAACTCATCTGCAGTACCGTGACACTGAAATAATTCAGGGAGTACACCATCACTTTTCTGAAGTACCTGGAGAAGAAGATATAAAAACAAAAGTTTAAGAAATTCCATTTAAACAGATGATTCTTAGAAATCAGAGAGTAGAAAACTTTTAATTTTACCATGTTTCAATAACCAAAGGGAAAAAACAGGCAGAGGTGGTGCTATCTCAGGTGTACAGTGGTGGCCCAGCCTGGGGCCTTAGCTGGTTGGTGGCATCAGCATTTGAGCTGTGGCTGTATGTGACATGAATTCAATAGAGGACTGTTGGAAAAACAGCCAATGCAATTTCCTAAAGAAACTAAGTGACCTGAGAAGACAGAGCTCTTCACAGAAAGTGACAGAAGGAAGAATACAGAGCTAGGGGACAATCTCCATTCTAGTTCTCATTTCTGTATTTTCTTTATCACTTCTACTTCTGGTAAAGAAGTTGTAACACTACAATGTATCATATTCATAAATTATGACATTGCCACAAAAGGAGTAACAGTGATGTAATTGCTTTTTGTTTTATGTTCGTGACATAATAAGAAAACCTGGCTAGGATCATCTATATTTTCAATATGTATAAAAGACACATACATGCTATAGAGAATACCACAAAAAAAAAAAAAAAAGTGCATACATTTTAAGAAACGAAAAAACTATTAAACCTGAATTACTCAATATATTCCAATAAGGTTTTTTTGTGTACTGTATCTTATATGACTTCTAACTGCAGAAATCAAACATGACTTGAATATTATAATTTCAATACAGCTTTTTCCTTTCGTAAAATGTACACTTTTGGGGGGGCACCCTGTGTGTGTGTGGGAGTGTGCTATACCCACAAAAAATATACATATATATACATATATATACACATCTCCTTTCCTCCTTGACATTCTGCTTAACAATATTCTTTGTACAAGCCATTTCCTGAACATTAATGATGTGCTAGGATTTAATCAATATATCTAACATGGCCATAAATTTCAGGAATGCTCAATTTACAGTATTTGTGCAAAAACTGCATTAGTTTTTTATGGCTCAATCACCAATTTTGTTTTAGTTCCAATGTGTGTCCATTTTGTGTTTTAGGTTTTTTTTTTTTTTTTTAACTTACCTGGTAAACAGCAGATGCTTTATTTAGAAAACTAGAAAGAGCAAATACTCCTGCCACATCTTGGTGGTTTCTATATGCTAAATGCATTGCCATGCATCCTCCCATAGAAAATCCTCCTTAAAGAAGCAAAAATAAGCTCATCAGCAAAAGCAGAATATACGCAACACTAATTCAGAATAAGGTATATCTTTGTCAATCACTCGTAAATAACTTTAAAGCATCTGTAAAGAAACCTTTAAAGTTACAGAATGATAAAAAGAAATTTAGTCTACTTTAAAAAAGCCCGCTGTGAATAAATAACCTAGTTACATCTACGCCATCACTGGTAGATAGATCTGTATTATAAAAGGAGCTAGAACCGAACAAAGAAGCCTGTTCACCAAGTAAAAATATTTATCACAATTCAAAATATGAGTCATAGTGTAATCATTATTTATTTAAATTTTAATGTCTACTTATATATTTTTTACAATATAGAAATCTTCACTTCACAACTACAATTAAGAACACATACCTTTTTGTCTTACTTGCCAAGCTGTGAGCTCCATGAGGAGTTATGTTTCTAGTGCCTGCCACATAATGTAATAGTTATTTAGTGAATTTTGAATTAGGAAAGATGGCTAAAAACTTGATGAGCTAGTTAAAATATTTTTGAATTACACTTTTGTTTGGAAACTGAATTATGTTGGTGTAACAAAAATAAAAAATATAAACCTATATGTACTTTTTAAAATTAAGAGTTTGAAAAAGTCATTTATTCATTTGATGAAGGTGTTCCATAGTATTGTCTTTTATGTGCCAAACATCATGCTAGTCACTGAAGATACAGAAATTAAAACACCCTCCTGTTCAGGGGGACTCTGATGAGGCAACACATCCATCACAGACCACGGTACACAACGTGACCGCAGCAGAGAGAGTGGCCAGTCCAAGCCTGACACAGCTCAGTAGGATATTCCCAAGGCTGAATGACATCTCATTCATGTTTCCTGACAGAATGTAGCCACATACTCATGAAAACACAAAAATAGACTCTGATGTGGATTTAGCATCCTTTATTTTACTTAAAGTGTAAAGCTGAGCCGTTTCAGATCATAACTTTGAATTTATTACAAAATCTTTCTTTTATACAGGCAGGCAACAGAGGCCCAAGGAAATCAGGTGATCTGTTTAAGGTTGTTGCATCCTGAATTTTAGATGTAAAGCTAGAAATTTTGGAATTCAGACCTCTTGCGACAGAGTTTAATGTACATTTTATTTTCTTTTTAATATTTATTAAAATAGGCCTGCTTTATCTGGGATAGGCAGATAATATTATTTTGGACATAGAACACAAACATATGAGAGAGGATTACCAGCCTTGCAAACGTTAGCTATAAAAGGGCATAATATGTAAATAATGATCACATATGCACGTATGACAAGTATTAATTATATCTGTGATTTTCTTTTCTTTTCTTTTCTTTTTTTTTTGAGACGGAGCCTCAAGCTATCCCCCTGGGTAGAGTGCCGGTGCAGCGCGCGCGCAGAACTCCTGGGCTCAAGCGAGTCTCCTGCCTCAGCCTCCCAAGTAGCTGGGACCACAGGCGCCCACCACAATGCCTGGCCATTTTTTGGTTGCAGCCAGCATTGTTATTTGGCGGGCCCGGGTTGGGGATTCGAACCCGCAACCTTAGGTGTATGTGGCTGGCGCCTTAGCCGCTTGAGCCACAGGCGCCGAGCCTATATCTGTGATTTTCAACATACCAGGAAGACATAATAAGTTCTCATCAAGAACAGTACCCCACAATGGATGAGAACCATACAAAAGGCTCCTCTAACACTCCAAGATGCAGATATACCAAATTATTAATAGTTCATGAATAAACTTGATAGGGGAGAAAACAGCATAAACATCTTAAAACTGTATGACAAACTTGCATAGGTGCATTAGATTCCCCCAAAGGCTAAAAGCCACTGGGTTACATTTGCCATGAATTTGTGCATTAATAAATATTTGACATATCCCATTTGGATATAAAGAGCTTTTCACAGTAGACAAGATTAGAATTTCTGGCAGTTTAACACTGCATGCAGAAAAAATTCTAAACTCTATTGGGTTTGGCCACAGTTCTAATTATAGACTTCTCAAGATATTCTATGTAAAAATATCATGTGGGTTACAAAGCAAATACATTTTGAAATAAAATTCTTAGCAAGATTTAATTTATCTAATATAAACTAATTCTTTAGAAAATACTTAAGCATAGGAAACCTTTCTTTAATCCTCAACTTTAAGTGCTTATCATTAGCTGAACAAAGAGTGCCTCTGCCCTCTCACCTCACACGTACCAAGGGGCTGGCTTCATCTTGACATGCCCAGGGGTGAGGACAGAGCCTGGCACCGAGTGACAACTCAATAAAAGTTTAACTGAAACTTTAGAAACCATATGTGTGTATTATAGGATGAAAGAAGAGAAAAGAAAAGTTACAAACATTTCTTAACTTTATTACAAAGATACACAGAGCATTTTCTACTTTAAGATTTGGTGGAAAGAGGAAGGCTAGGCTGAAAATAATGGAATCTGAGTTCTGGTCTTGCCTATACTTCCTTGCTAACTGTCTCTGTGTACATTATTTAAAGGTAGGACTTCATGTGTAGTAAAATTATATAGCTGGCCTAGATGATGTTTAGGGTTTCTACCAAACTCTTAAGGACAAATAACTTCATAACTCCACTATCAACAAGGAAATTACCAGGGATTTCAAAACTTAGAGGCTCCACTACAACTCGGGCTTTACCTAACAAATCCAACAGTGAACCTAATCGTTTGTACTTTTAAATCAATCTGAAATTAAAAACATAAACTAAAATTCCACTTTCAATTAAGAAATAAGAACCTGTATCTCTCAGAGCACAATTCTAGCTTTCTGAACTAGAACTGATCTTAGCAATCTCCCGTTTTCCTGATAGCCCATTTATTTAGAAATGAATTCCAGCTTGCTTATAATCAAATACCCTATTAATAATAAAACTCTATAATTCAGGGCAGGTTAGGGAGATATGAAAGAGGAAAAGGCAGGATCTAAAGAAAGAGTGAGAGGTTAAGAATGAAAGAGAAAAAGATTCAGAATCGATGATACTGGGGTGGGGGCAGTAATTAAGGGTACAACTGGGCATTTAACAGCTTCTCGTTAGAACAAGGAATCATAACAAATCACACTGGAAACTTGTCCTAGTATTGAATTTTTAAGTGGAATTCATTAAGTGGATCTTTATTAAACATACCATTCCAAATCAAACATTCTACGTACAGCCACATCTGCTACTGACTCTTCTGGGTCATAAAGACTTAACGTTTGCTAGAATGTACTGATTATGAGGGCAAGAACTTTTGTCTGTTTTCTTTACCATTATATTCCCCCCCCCTCCATGCTGAGAACAATGTCTGGTACGTAAGAGGTGCTTAATAAATATTTATGGAATAAATAATGTAAACTGTAGTTAGTTCAATGAGGATACTTCTGTAAGAAGACCAACTTATCATCAAGAAATACAGCTTTTTGATAATTTGATATAAAAAAGCTTAGAAAATCTAAAAATGAATTCAAACTGTTCTCCTTGCCAATCATTCCTGATTTCGCTTTTTAAAAATAAAGAGTTTAGACTCAATCCCAGACTCACTAACAAAAATCTCACTGCATACGTCTAATTTTTAATAAAGCAGATATTTGAGAATTGCTATTGTGTGGCAAATTATTCAAAATTAAGTATAATGGGTAAAAACAAAAAGTGAAAATATGGCTGTGATATTAAAAAAATCCATATGCTATAGATACCAAGGCTGCAGGAGCAAAGTTGTTACTTTTCTAAGAAATACAAAAGCTTGAATTGCGTACTTGCCAAATGTAGCTAATGAATATGTGAACTATGATTAGTGGGACTGAGGATCGACCTTTTAAATTTTATTTAACTTTAGTTTAAATTCAAATTTTAAGAATTACATGTAGCTAGTGGCTATCACATTGGGTAAGGAATTTCTAGGTTTTCTAAGATGAACCAGTGAATACAAAAAAAGCTTCAAAATTCACAAGTGGAACAATAATAAAATGAACATTTTGTAAATTTTAAAGCTAAGGGAAAGATCAGTAAAAGGTAAAACGTCAATAAAATAGATTGGTGGGCAAAAACTTACATTAAAAATGATTTTAAAAGCCTTCCTACTGAGAAAATTCTACATATTAAGTGCCCCCAACACTTCATCAGGCAACCTAATCACTTTATGTAGTTTCTGAGACTCTTGATGGGACAAGACTAACTAAAAAAAGAAAACACATGTAAAATGGCATCATGAACACGCAGAAATGCATCCTGCAGACATTTTGCCTCATGTTCAATTCTCGTAAATTACAATGAGGAAAAATGTACTCATTGAAATCTTATTATTTTATTTATTTATTTTAAAATGTAACCTAAGTTCCTTACCCATTTATAATCTTGTGAGGTAATGTGTAATTCTTCACCAGCCGTCTTTGACAATATAGTCACCTTAGCATGGGACACTACTGTGAAAAGGGACTTTGTGTATTTTTTTCTAATAGAAGAAAATTTAACACAAAGGACCAGTTATTTGAATTCAATTTTCCATCTAAGAGTCTAAAACCTAATATAAAGTACACTGTTCAATAAGTAAATACCAAATAGTAAATTCATTGTAGGTAATGGTTATATAATGGATATTTATAGTTGCTGCTGAAGTATTTAAAATGTCAAGAGTTAACGTTTCAACATACATTTAAGATTAACAAGCTGAATAAGACATGTTTAAAAATAATAAAGCAGGCTTTATGAACTCTTTATATAAAATAGAAACAATCTATTAAAAAAGCAAAATAGTAAAAAAAAAATTCATATAATTAGGTTTGGTATCAATTGAATAGAATTTTTAAAAAGTAAGAAAGTCCATCACTATCCCAAATGTAAAAGTTCTTCCATTTAATTTACATAGTTTTATAATTATTCTTTAGACTTAAGTGTTCATAAAGTCTCAAAAAGACTAGGGAATACAGAAATTATGCTAACATATTTATTTACTCTCACACAAAATTTTCAGAATAAAAAAATCATTTCTGTCCT